CCCCCCCCCCCCCCCCCAACTAAGTCCCTTACCTTGTTGAAGGCGGCCGTTGGCGGGTGACAGCAGGGTCACGCGCGATGGCGGGCGTTGGCAGGTGCTGGTGGGGTGCGTCGAAGAAGCGCATTGAAGTTGCGCATCGAAGTCCGGCGGACACAGTGCTGCAAGGCAGGGAAGGGGGGACGTCGGGGGCACATCTTCACCACGGGGGAGGGAATGGGGGCCGGTAGTTCCTGCCCGCACCGATTTGAAATCGGTGCAGTCTGGGCCGTCGATCTTCGAGATCGACGATCCAGATGGGGCCCGATTTCAAATCGGTGAAATCGGGCCTACGGGCCCCGATTTTTTTTTTTTCGTGGTCCACATGGTCTATGAAGGGGGCGAAAAGGGCCCCAGCGCCGAAAAAAAAATAAAAATCCTAACCTACAGTGATGCGCTGGGGGCGCCCGGTGGCCAACCGGGTGCGACAACCGGCCAGGCGGCCCGGCACCCCCCCCGGGCGACAGCCAGGCCGCCGGGCGGCCCGGGGACCAGCCTAGGAAAACTTCAAAAAAGAGGTTCAATGGTCATCTGAAACCACCACCACTTTCGAGCCTTTTTTTTCTCTCTTTCAATGTTTTTTTTTTTTTTTTTTTTTAATTATTAATTCACAGGAGGTTACCCATCGGAGCGTTATTCCAGCCCAGCGGCGCGTGGCTGCGAGCCTCTTTTTCTCGACGCCCGATTACGGCGCCCCTGAACTATTGAAGCGTCATGGGGGAAGTGTTTATTGGATGCCGCCAGTCCCTTTTTTTCGTCCGGTAGGCCGAGCCTTTCCATGAACCCAACTTAACCGGCATCGACTCGCGGGTAATTGCCTGGGGTACTGATGGTTTAAGCTGTTTCTTTTTCGAAGTTTTTCTGAAGTTTTTGTTTGCTTGCCATATGAATGCAGATGGTGTTGTGAAGGCTGGTGTCAGCTCTCTGGTTATCTTGCAGACGGAGGGGGAGGGGGGAGGAAACGGTGGTGGTCGGATTGTTGTCTTATTGCCAAACCAATACACCAACTAAAAAAAGGGTTGGGTATTGGAAAATGAAAAACTAGGGCTGTACTGGAGATCCATTAATTTTGGAAGGATACGGAGAAGATTAGCATGGCCCCTGCTCAAGGATGACACATATAAATCGGGACATGGTCCAAAACTAAAAAACAAAAAAAGAAGAGGGTGGCACAAGAAGATAGTGGTGGGTTTAGTCACCCATGGGCCATGACTGTCATGATTTAGTGGTGGGTTCTGCCCATTCTGGCAGCAGACACAGAAGATAGTGGTGGCAAAATGCTAAATCAGACCACACAGATACGAAGGACGATCAACGTCTCAAGTAGGCACAACCAGGGCAACAAAATTACAGACAAGACAAGATAGCAGATGAAATCCTAAGTGAAATCACACAAAACCATCAGGACGATTAATGTTTCAAGCAGGCAAAAGCAGGACAACAAATTTACAGACGATAAGATGATGTAGTGCTTTGTGAAAGGCTATGTGAAATACTATAAAAAGCAGGACAGAAAATTTACAGACTATAAGATGTAGTATTTTGTGTAAGGCTATGTGAAATACTATAAAAAGCAGGACAACAAACTTACAGACTATAAGATGATGTGGTACTTTGTGAAAGGCTATGTGAAAGGCTATGTGAAATACTATATGAGAGACTGTGTGAAATACTATGTGGAATACTGTGTGGAATACTGTGTGGAATACTGTGTGGAATACTGTGTGGAAGAAGCAGGACAACAAATTTACAGACGATAAGATAATGCAATACTATGTGAAATGCTATGTGAAATACTATGTGAAGTACTGTGTGAAATACTATGTGGAATACTACATCCAGGTCTATTTGGTACAAGGTGGATCCCTTCGGTGCGCTAAGCTTTGCCGAAATGTCAGCGCTGTTTCTGTTTTTGTTTTGGCTAGCACCGCCAGACATTTTGGTTCAGTTTCCCGAAGCCTCGGAGATCTTAGAAGAGAGGCTCAATCGTGATTCTTGAGTTGGATGGGGCCACGTACTGGTGGTTTTTTCTACCACAGAAATACCCAGCAGGATCAATGTGCCAAGCAGCCATAACTAGGACAATGAATTTAACGATTCTATTCTATACTTCTAAAGACGAGAACATACTCTGTGACAACTATGCCAAATACTATGTGGAATACTATAGCAAAAAAGGAAAAGTGGACAAAGCAGGACTATGTGAGATAGTTTGTGAAGGTTATATTGTCCTGTTAACTCAACCTTGTGTGGTTGCATTCTTTTCCTGCTCCTCCTTTTTCTGAGGGCGTCATCCTTGAGATCTTGTTACATGCACAGATCTGCAATGTACGTAATAAACCGAGAATCTGCAATGTGATGAAAAGGACTGAATAGACAATGCGGTACGAGTAGAATCTCGACAAGCAATGTACATTCTCATTCATACATAAAGATGCTGAAGAGCGCAGGGAAGACTTTAATACAAAGACTGACCTGACAGGACTGACCTCATTCACGTAGTTCAGAGTAACGAAGCAGAATGCTAGAGTACCTCTAACTAGCCCAATCAATGTT